TCTTGGTATATAAAAGGGGAATATTTCCTTCTGTTTTTGTAATCTTTTGGGGGGATTGCCTGTGGTGCACATTACATTCTGGTTGAATATTTATTCAGCAATAAGAGTGTTTTCTTTCTTTTCTATTTTTGTGGACAGGTTTTCTGAAATAGCAGGAGATTTTGCTTTTAATTCTGTTTCCCCAATAGTAGCCCCATTAATCTTTTTTTTTCATGAATCCCTCAGGTAATTGACTCTAGGAAAGATGTTACGGTGGTGAATTTTCTTATTTTGTAAATATTTGAAAATCAGGAAAATCCTCCCATCAATAAATTAAATGAAGCATTGAAGTAAAAAAGAATATTCTTAACAAAGCTTATATTAAAAATTAGAAGTTTCTACTGCATGTAGATCTAAGAAACCTAGGGGAATCCTAGTCTGTTTCTCCTATTCTCCTCTTTCAAAACCATTCCCTTACCCAGGCTGGATAATAACAGCCTGGTTAATAAAAAATAGAGTATGTGTTCCAAATTATCGAATGCTTCTTCCTTGTGTATGGAGAATCTGGGATGACAACCAGTGGTCTGCCATTTTGTGTGTGAAAAAAAGAGGTATGTACATGTGAGAGTCTGAAGGAATCTTCATATACCATTATAACTAACCTCTCTCTTCCCTATTGCCTTCAGAAAAAAAGAAAAACAGTCAATCTAACCTAAAAGTGCCACCTCCTCAGTGGCCTCAGCACCTTTTGCACTACCTAGAGGCTAGCAACAGGAGACCAGAACATCTTAGCATTGTGAAAGAGAGACAACATGGACAGGGTGCTTAGCCAGTGAGTAGGGCTATTGTTGACTTTTCACCAGTATGAATGAACAGATCCCAGACCCTGGTTGGGGCAGCCTGAGCAGACACAGCCTGGATGCTGCTCCATGGGTGGCTTAATTAGTTCCAATATTGTCTAAAGGAGTCTTTCAGTCCAGAGAGCCATGGTAGGGTGAGTTCTGGAAATCAATCTGCCCATTGTAATTTAGGGGAAGGTTAGGAATTGCTTTCCAGCGTCTGTTTTACTCAGGCCGCTAGATGGAGAAGCTGAGCTGTGGAAGTGTTAGCTATCCATCAGTTGTGTAAAGTAGCATGAAAGAGCAGGATATTTGTAATATACAGATTTACTGCTGTGAAACTGACTGGACTATAAATAATACATCTCCTCTCCATAAATGAGTAGAGCAACACACCCCCACACAAAGAAGCCCAGATAACAAATCTTTGAATCACAGATTCACTCTTTATTCTTCTCAGTGTTAACCCCAGTGCCTAACACATGTAAGAAACTATATTTCTGACATATGTAAGAAACTGTATGTGTTGAATTGGAAATAAAAGTCTGGATATTTGTTAGCAGATGATAGGGAAATCAGAGAACATTTGGGTTGAGATTTTTAAATTTACTTTCCTATCCTTTGGCATTGCTGTAAAGAATTAATGACCAATGACTGTTTTGCTCTATCCTTTGAAGATCATAGAAAAGTATAATCACAATAAGTATTTGTTGAGAGCTTGATAATAATCCAGGAACTCTGTTAAATGCTTTAGATACAATTTCTAATTTCTTCATGTAAGAATTCTGTGGAATAAATACTATTTCCTCTTTGTGGTAGATGAGGACACCAGGCTCAAGTGACTTGCTCAAGGATATCCCAATAGGAAGTGACAGAGCTAGGATATATCAAACAGGGTGTGGATTTATCCATTTGTTGTCCTACTTAATAAGTACTTGTTGAAAGATAAGCTTGACTTGGAAACCTGGTCTACATTGCTCCAATGTGTCAATAAGGGGTAGTATATTTGCATGTTTAGTGTGTCAAGGCTTCCCAGTTCTTACGCGGTTTTCACAATCTGGGCTGGCCTCAGCACAAGGCACGTTAGAGACCTTTAGGATAAGAGTGAGTGATAAGAGTGATTCTAGACACTCCTGCAGTTTCAAAGGCCTAGATGGGAAAATTCTAGTCCTAGTCCAGTCACTTTCTGGCAATGATGAAAAGAGGAAAGGGAATTGGGAGAACTATTTATGCAGAAAGAAAACTCTTTTGGGGCATTTTATTATGGGAAAAGAAGTGGTTTATTTAAGACTTCTTACGGAACCAGGAGTCAAATAGTTTAGTTAAGACTTCCCGGCCGGGCACGGTGGCTCAAGCCTGTAATCCCAGCACTTTGGGAGGCCGAG